GAATTTATAAGGTTGTCGCCACCTAGGGTGGGCAGTCCTCTATTTTAGATATGATGGACATGGGTGATGTAATTTATATGCTCGGATGTACGATCCTTAGGGATTGTTTTGGAAAAATTCTCGGTTTGTCTTCGATGACTTACATAAGGAATATCCTAGAATGATTCTGGATGAAAAATTGCAAACCTATTGACTTACCTATCAGTAAAAGCCAGAGCCTTAGCTATTGAGTGAATCCTCGGATTGTCTTTGGGAGAAACAAGTGACCTATATTCCTTGATCTTTTCTTTGTTGTGGGAGCCTAAAGTACGCTATGTGGACGTATTCGGCATGATAAGTGTTATCTTTGGTAAATGGTCAACTGAGTTGTTTAGACATTGACCTTGCTCATTAGACTGTGGATAAAATGCTTTACTAGTAGTATATTAATTTGCTCCTTGTAAGATTCAATGCGCTAGTTGGGCGCATCTGCGCTAGTTGGGCGCATTAAGAATGAACGCAAATTGGTCACCAAAATATCTTTAGAGAGGTTATTGCGCAAGAGGTAGTGATCTTAAATCACTTCATGTGAGGCGCACATGGTGGATTCTGTTTTATATACTTATCGCAAGAGGTGCTGATAAGGCTTATGTTTGGAATCTAGAATTGTGATCTTGAATCACTTCATGTGGGGCGCACATGGTGGATTCCGCTGTATATACTTATCGCAAGAGGTGCTGATAAGGCTTATGTTTGGAATCTAGAATTTCGCAAGTTGTGGTCATATTTTTTTTTAGATCGATCACTTATTTGTTGTGAGATGATGGGATGTTGACACCATTATGGTTTGTGTCATAGTGATTAGCAGATGATGATGTTAGTAGGCAAGATTGGCTCACTCACACGAGCAATCGCCCTTGGCGCTTGGGAGCGAGCAAGGATGAGACTAGTGGTTTATTTTTATTTGGAGCCAAGAGAGGCTTAAATAATCCACTATGTATGTCGCCTTGGTTACAACGAAGATGAGGCCATGTTATGGACCAAACATGGATGTTAGTACCCACTTTCCATGTTGTGCCTGTTATGATTAGCCAGATGCGAGATCTCATTTGGCGCCTAGAAGGCGAGAAAATAGAGAATTCGGGTTAGGCGCTAGAAAGCGACTAGACTAATATATGTACGGTGTATCGAGTATGACGTCACTCTTTTGGAAGAGTTACTCCACCGTAGCATGTATTCATACTATATGTGCTTGGCGACCGAGTAATGAGATGAGAGAATGGATCCCTGTTTCCTCACCATATGAGTCTTACGTGTCATTATTGATATGAGTTTCATTTATGTACCCTTTTGTGACTTTTGACTATGTCATAAGGTAAGAGGTTGATGTTCTGCTACTTTGGTATGTTGCCTGCGGTCACGTACGATTCGGCCTTACGGGACATCACTAGGAAAGCGGTCAATCCTAAACTAAATGGCATGAGGGCAAAGGGAAGATCATCTAATATTACACTACTGTTGTATATTCACTGCCAGCAACTCACATCGCTCTGTATGAGAGGCTGATTGAGTGTGAATATATTGTAAGAATTGAGAGGGTCAAACATGCTCTTTTTGAGGGATTAGAGATGTTTTTTGGACCGGTGTAATTAGATGGGTCTGGGGTATATGAGACACTATTTCTGCTCTTTTTGAGTTGATGTCTCTATACTGGCTCATTTTGAGTTTCTAGTATAGAGCTCCCACATGCAGGTGTTCTCAGCAGTCGCACGGTGCAGTGGCTAGTATGAGATTGTTCATTTTTTGGGGAGATTAAGATAGAGATGTGGCAGTGTCATGCCAACTCATGTGCGAGTGAGAGATGTTAGAAATTGGACGCCCATGTGGCATGATCCTTTGAACCTTTTGAACCTTATCCATGTAAGTTTGAATTTTGAATTCAAAACTTATTTGGATAACCACTCAGGTTATCTATATCTATCATATCAACTGATATGGATAGATGGATATATAGATGTTGGTTGTTATATATTATATACATCTGATATGATGGAGATAATATATCAATATCACAGATACATTATGTGGTTTTTACCCATAACCTTTTTTCCCAGATTCTTTCTCTGACTCTCTCCCATTAAACAACAATCAAGCCATTTTGCACTGTGATTTGTGTGGGTGATATTCATTCTGTAATATCACTCCATTGCTGGGTTGATTGATCAGATTCAGGAAGCACGTGATTTACCCACGAGGTTCTTCGCTAAAAGGTATGATTCTGATATTTTATCCGCTACGTTATAATGCTTTATGATTTACAGGAAAAATGGCAAAGTTCCTAATTGTGATTTCTGACCAAGTTCTGAAGGTCGTAAATGCTTTGTCTTTGGCTTTTGATTTCCCCAGAACACAGTTCTGATCGGGCTGAATTTCTAAAGCTTAACAAGAGAGTTCAACCAACTTCACTCCATCCCACCCCCCACCCCCATAAAAAAAAGGACAAAAAATAAATAAATAAATAAAAACACAAATGAAGAAGAAAATTAAAAAATAAAAACTTCTATTGGCTTCATATATAGAAAAGTCCTGGTCCAGAGTGTGATGATCCTTAATCTATTTATTGGTTATCGTTCCTCATTCCATATGGTAAAATAAAGGATGACCATTGATTTCATCTGTTTTAAGACTGATTTTGGCCTTATAACAAAGTATTAGTGAACTGAATGTTATGTTGAAAAACACTTGATTTGCCCATGAGTTGTTAAGTTTTTGTTGTATGATATGGTGTAAATGAAGAGAAACTGTTTAGCAGTTTCCTCTGTGTGTATGTCCACCATTTAAAACTACTGTCAGTGTAACTAAAAAGGTCAATTTTAAATTGCCAGAAAGCTGTTGAAACAGAGGCTATGGCAGTGAGAGATATGAGCAGCTTGATGTTTCAAAAAAAAGTTGCCCCGTTCCTATCAGATGCTCCATGACGCCTCATGGAAGGTAATAGGTGTGATTTTTTTTATTTTATTTTATTTTTTTTTTTAAATGCCAAAGGAAAATAGTCTGGTGTTGTTACTCTCACCAGAAAACTATTTTGTTTGACTCCTTATGATGCCATCCTGTGGGTGCCCCCTCAGATTTTATCATGATCTTTTTGGTGACAAAACAAAATTAAAGAACAAAAATTTTAAACACTTGCAATAAAAAACTGCACCCAATTGATGAGTTCATAAACTCATGCACTTACAACCCATACACAAAAGGAATCCCAAATGGAAACTTTTATTAAGTTACTCTTCATTTAAGGAAGTCTTCAAATTGTTGTATTTTGATTTCTATCCGTGAAATATTTTATTATTTGATCAATGCATAAAATAATGCATTTACTTTAAGTGTACAGTCTCAAAAGAAACTGTATGAGAAGCGCCATAATACAGCAGATGGCCACATTAGAATATGGCTTGGAATAAGGCAAATTATGAATTCTACTGATCATTTAGTAACTGAAACAAGGGACACTGCAAAAGAACTGAAAACTGGAATCCACATGGTAAGAAAACGCTCTATTTCTCTCTCTTCATATGCATATAAATCAATGTTTTTTTAGATTTTGAATTCCATAGCCTGGTACTATACATATTAAAGCTTTCTTGAAATATAAATATACTCTTAAGTTCTATGTTTAAATTATAAGAAAATTGAGAGAGATTGAGAGAGCAATTTAGCTCTGTATGTTTTTGATGTATTTAGCAATCAAATGGAACCTCCATTATATAGGAGATGGTTTACAAGACAGAATGATATGAAGCCACCGAAAGGTAGCAAAAGGAAAGGAAAAGCAAGCATCTCTGTGCTAGCACCAACTATGCAACAACTAGCAAAAGGAAAAGAAAAGAAAGCATACAACTAACTGCAAAAGAACCGAAAACTGGAATCCACATGGTAAGAAAACGCTCTATTTCTCTCTCTTCATATGCATATAGATCAATGTTTTTTTAGATTTTGAATTCCATAGCCTGGTACTATACATATTAAAGCTTTCTTGAAATATAAATATACTCTTAAGTTCTATGTTTAAATGTCTGGCAGAATAGAAAGTGAAAATTGGATGTTACTATCCACAAACATCAACTTGGATTTAAGTGAAAATTTATATGTGGATGCCCACTGCAGGAAGTGTATTCTTAATTTCATACTTCTTCCACAAAAACATGCTTGATGAAAAACCTAAAATAGAAAGAGATCAAGTGAACACTAGTGAAATTTCAATACTAGTTGTTCGTGTAGTTAGTTTTAGTTTTCATCATAATTCGGGTCATTGAAAACTGTTTGGATCTGATGGCCCAAAATGAATGTACATTTCAATACTTTTTTCCTTGTTTGTTTCTTTGATAAGATAAAGTAAAGGTTCATTCAAATTAAGGACCACAGGGCCAAAAGGTAAACTATGATGGTGACTGTCTAGCCTTTCATTTTATGGGAGGAAAAAAAGTCTAAATCTAGGGAGTTATTGTTGCAAGTAAATACAAAATTTGGAATTATTATTTTAACATACACTTAAACTGGACCTATATGTGCCCGTTTTCATATGTCAATCACTAGGTTATCCTAAGAGTTGCCCCTTCAACAGTACTGTATGGTAATAGAATGCATTGATCTCTGTCACTTTTTTGCGTTTGATATAGAATCATTTGAAGTTTAAGCAGTGCCTTGTGGAGTTTGAACAACTTTACTGGTACTATGACTTTCATGTTTAAAGTGTCGGATCAATTTACAAGATCTGCCACATTCTGCAATAACTGTTACATTTTTTTGGACTGTTTACTTTTCCACTCTCTTTCTGCCTTCTTTTTTTCTCTCAATCTACCTTCTTCTATCAATGGTTCTGCTTATTTCATTCCTCAGTTTATTGGTTTGTATATATTGCCTTGGTAATTTTGTTTTTGACCATTTGTCTTGGTAAATTAGTTATGCTCTTGTTTTCTTACTTGTTCAATATTCATTAGCCTTTTTTCTCTCTCTCATGCTAGATGCTATGCTTGCCTTCATCCAAGGGCTGTGAACTGCTGGAAGAAGAAGTGTGGCTATAGCAACCAGGTTTTTACTCTGCTTTGCTCTGAATTACTTGTTAATTTAACTTTTTAATTATTTAACTGCTACGTGTTTTGCCAAGTTTTAAATATTTTATTTATGATTCACAATCTAATGTGGATTACTAAACACACCAAATTTGAGTTATTATTTGAAGTAGTTCTCCTTGCTCTTCTGTATTTGGTTTATTGGTTCTAATATCATATTCGGTATTGCAGCTTAGGCCCAAGAAGAAGAACAAGTGAATACTAGTGAAATTTCTGCATCTAGAGGTGGATCTGGAGCGTTGAATTCTAAACAAAGTAAGTACAACCTTTTATCTCAGCAGACATTATCCCCATATTATGTTTTGTGATTCTCTTTGAAACATTTTACTTGTAATTGGTACCGGATTGGATCCTGAATTTACCATATATCATGATGTTCCTTAGTCTTTGATGAATTTGGCTGCATTTGTTTTTTTGGAACCATTTTATTATGAGTTATGTTTTGTTCCATGATTAGCGTACAAGTTTGTGATATTGAATATGCAGAGGCACAAAATGACTTCTTAATATGATACTTAGAAACATATAGTTTTTGGATGGTTTGTAATATATAGACAATTTTTGAATGCTTGAAACTTGGCACACACGACCGCCTTGGCACAATAGACTTGGGGAGAAGAAGGGACTCGAATCGGGTTATCAGTTTGGGAGTTATAGCCGGATTTCGGTCTAGGCAAACTAATTCCTTAAGAAGCTTAGAATAAGAGGTGTTGACATCCCAAAATCATCAAACGGTATCGGATTAGCACGAAACTTGGCACACACGACCACCTAGGCATGAGAGACTTATGGGAGAAGATGGGACTCGAATCGAGTTCCCAGTTTGGGAGTTAGAGTCAGATTTCAGTCTAGGCAAACTAGTTCCTTAAGAAACTTACAATTTGAGGTGTTGACGCCCCAAAATCACCAAACGGTGTTGGATTAGCACGAACTTGGCACACACTACCGCCTTGGCACGAGAGATTTGTGGGAGAAGACGGGACTTGAATCAGGTTCCCGGTTTGGGAGTTAGAAATGGATTTCGGTCTAGGCAAACTAGTTCCTTAAGAAACTTAGAATTCGAGATATTGACGCCCCAAAATCACCAAATGGTATCAGATTAGCACGAAACTTGGCACACACGACCGCCTTGGCACGAGAGACTTATGGGAGAAAACGGGACTCGAATCGGATTCCCGTTTTGGGAGTTAGAGCCTGATTTTGATCTAGGCAAAATTATTTACTTAATTATCTTTGTAATTGTATAGTTGTTAAATTTTTAAGTTTTTTTGTAATTAACATATTAACACATAATTATATTGTCATTAATTATTTTTATTTTTTGTTTTCAGATATTTCCTAAATAAAAGTTTGCTTCTTGTGGAATGCATGCCTGTGAAGAATGCGACTAACTTTAGTTTTTGTTACCTACGGAGAATGATGAGGAAAACTTTTGTTTTTGGTTTATGTTATTTTAAATTATGAACAACAGTATGTATTTAAACATTATATATGTATTATGGAATATTATGTAGTGGGTTAATTTTGCTAATGTGTAGTTATGAATGCAAGAATATTTTTATTATGGAGAAATTATTATTTCTATATAAGAATTTTTATATTATTATGTAATTTTTGGTTTCTTTTTCAATTTTTTTTTCATTTAATACGGGTAATTTGAATATTTTTAATAATTTTCATTGTAGGATTTTTTTTTTTTGGCAACGGCACCACACCGTCGCAAAAAACATTAGAACTAAAATGTTTTTTTTTTTTAGCCACATAGACAATGCCGTCGCAAAAGGTATTAGCAACAGAGGTCATGCCGTCGCAACAAAAAACATTTCGCGATAGCATTTTTTTCCGTCTCAAACAAAACTTTTAGCGACAGCACAACATTGCCGTCGCAAAAGATCTCAATTTTTTTACATGTTATAGGCAATAGTAAAATGCTGTCGCAAAAGGCCACATTTGCCGTCGCAAAAAACAAGCCGACGGCACCATGTCATCGCTAGAACGGTTTTAGCAACGCCTTTTGTTGTGACCCCTCCTTTGCCGTCGCTAAAAGCCATTTGCCGTTGCTAAAAGTTTTTTGAGACGGCATTAAGAATATTAGCGACGGCATTATGCCGTCGGAAAAAACTAAATTTTTTGTAGTGTCTTTTTTAATATATCACCTAGACGGGGTTTGATGAGATTTGGGAAGAGTGGGAAGTTGTCCCCTCGATTTATTGGCCCTTTTGAAATCTTTGAGCAAATAGGGGAGGTTGATTATCATTTGGCATTTCCACCGCAACCTTCTGGGGTTCATAACGTGTTTCATATTAGTATGCTTCGGAAGTATGAGTCGGATCCATCGCACGTGTTGGATTGGACCGACTTAGAGGTAGATGAGGATGCCTCGTATGAAGAGAGTCCAGTGAGAGTCTTGGATAGACAGGATCAAGTCTTGCAAAGTAAGACAATTCCCTTGGTAAAGGTATTGTGGAAACATCACGGGGTCGAGGAAGCGACTTGGGAGCGTTAATTGGAAGTTCGAGGAAATATCCGGACTTGTTTGTTGGTGTATGAACATGTATTGAGATTTTGATTGTGTTAACGAAAAGTATAAGCATTGTATATGTTTTAACTTATAAGAACATTGTATATGTCATACTCGTTTGGAAACATGGACTCAATATAAACATTGTATATGTTTTGAGAATATGGAATATAGTTGTTTGGATTTTGATTAAACATTGTAAATGTTTTTGGAAATTGTAAATTGCACTTTCAAAATAGGACTTGTGTATCGAGTCGATAAGAATGGGCGACCGGAGGACAGGTCATAGTGATGAACTTGTAAGATTAACATTGTTATGAATGGTTCAATTATGTTTTTGAGCTTGATTTGAAATTTCGAGGACGAAATTCTTTAAGGGAGGAAAGTTATAGCGATCTCGGTTTTGACCCGTCTCTTTGTGGCGTTCCGGACTCAGGTTTGCATGGTTTGAATGGTTGTTCGTATCTTGTTTCCCTTGTCTTCCCCTTATTTTAGTTATTAGGTTGTAGTTGTGCGTTTAGAACAGGTTGGTTGCTTATTTTTCCAAACCTGTGATGCCTAGATTTTGGCTATTCTGCTCGAGTGGGCATTTTGCGCTCGAGCGGGCTTTACAAATTTTGCTCCTCCGCTCGAGCGGCCATTCTTGCGCTCGAGCGGAATTTGTCAACTCTCAGTATTTTTTTGCAAACCTACAAATACTAGGAGGATGTATACGACGCTCGAGTGGCGTTTCCTACGCTCGAACGGGTGGACACTCGAGCGTCCAGTCTTGAGCTTGAGTGGGGTCCTCGTCTGCAAAACTTCTGAAAGAGCATATTGCACGCTCGAGCGGAAGTATGTGTCTGACGCTCGAGTGGACTGCGTGTATAACAGTCCGTGAAAGTGACGTTTTTTTTCACTTTTTCATTTCTCTCTCTCTCTAAAACTCTCCAAAACCCTAGATCTTGAGTTTCTCTCTCTAAAACTCACATTCTCACTACTATTTCACCTAGATCCATTGAGATCTTCACCCTAATGTCTTTGAGAAAAAGGTAAAGTACCTCAAGACCTTCGTTTTGATCCAAGTAGAAGTTGGTTTCGTCATCTTTGGAGTTTCAACCTTGCTTTGCTCGTCTTCTCTTTTTGATGTAGGGATTTTCTACACTTTCATATGGTTTTTAACTTAGTTATTTGTTATTGTGTAACAATAGTGGGATTCGGTTGTAGTTTGGACAAACCTAGGGTTTGGGTGTAAAATGAAAAGAGGAGTTTTTGATGAATATGAAATAAATGAGTATGGGGTTTGAATATAAGGTCATGTTGTGCTAAAATGGTCGATCTTGGTATTTGGGTTAATATTTAGAAGAAGGGAGATTTTGCCCTAATTTGATTAAATTGTTATTTTGTATAAATAATTGGAATTGACATTGAAAATATGAAATTAGATGGTTATTGATCTAGATGGTAGAATTGGATATGTGTTATCTCACTCCTGTGGAAGTTTTGAATAAACTATTTGTCTTGAGATTGAATATCTGTTTAGAAATAACTGTATTGAGCTATTGGTTGAGGATAACTATGATTGTTACAGAAATTGCATGAGGATTAGGTGATTTAAAACTAATCTATTGTTGGTTGTCATTGAATATGACCACGTTTTATATACATTGTATATGTATGCTTGTTTGGGAGGAGAAAGGGGATGCGTTCCATTTATGATTATATTTATAAATACATTGTATATGTACGTTTGTTTGGAAGGAGAATGAAGATGGACTCCATTGAAAGTAAGTTGGCCAGAGTGTCCTGGGTGAAAGTCCTGAAATCTTGTATATACATGGGTGCCAATTCCTTCGGACGAAATATCCGCAAAATGGCAGATTGGAGAGTTATGTGTGTTTTGTATGATTGGGAAAAACCATTGAGTTGTAGTCTCAGTTTGGTTATTGAAAGATAGTGGTCTTGACTCATAGATTGAGATGGGTAGTCGAACTGGAAATGAATTGAAGGAAAGAAGGATTAAGATCCAAACTTTTGTGCTTCATAAGACTACGGATTTGAGATTGTTTTATTTCCGGCATTGTTTATGCACATTGTACTTATACCTTTGCTAAACCTTATGTATTGTATTAGATTATTCCTACTGAGCTGTGGCTCTCCCTATATGGGAAAACCATTTTCAGGTACAGGTGATATGCTTCCACCAAGGCAATAGCGTAGAAGGACTTTTGCGAAGTAAAAGCTTCTTTATTGTGTTTTGTTATCTGTAAAGCCAAGGGCTTAAAATGTAATGAGTGGGGCTCACTTTTGTTGTAACCAAGCTAAGACTTGGAAATGTATAAGTCCACATGGCATTTATTTATGTTAATATCTTTTGTACTATTAACTCTAAGGAAGGAAAGACATTGTACTCTGATTCATGCTGTCATTTATATATGCTTTTGGGTTGTATTTATTGTATATTTTGAGGGCGTTACATGTCCTGCATGGTCACTTGGGCTATGCATGGATTCATATTATTTTGTCTAAAGATGAAAAAAATTAATAAAAAATAGATTCAACCGTTTTTATTTATAAAAATTTTGTTTTCGAATTGACCTTGAAAAAATAGGTATGGTACATATTTAAAGGAAATGAGATATGGATAATATTTAGAATAATTACGGTTATTCCTCTAGGTGTTTTTTTTTAAATGATGACGTAAGTGGGTGAATCATTGTGCCCTAAGACATCTTATCTATGGAAAAAATATATATTTTTACAGAAAATGTGTATAAAATTTGTCACAATGTTGCCACATTATTTTGTACACGTGTTTTTTTTTTTTTTTTGGTGTGTATAACATTATTCGTCGCTTGTTTATGGTGTAGCTTTTCTCAAAGTTAAATTTGAACTTTAGAGAATTGTTCTGCTATGTGAAACCCATAACGAATCCCTTTTCGATAATCTTATCTATTTTGAACTTTATCCGATAATCATAATATTTTTATTTTATCACATTTATTTTTAAATAAAAGAAAGACGGCAAGCTTATTTTTAAAAATAAATTATCCATTATTAAATTTATTTTAATTTTTTTTTATAAATAATATATAATTTTTTTTATACATAATAAATAATTTAGATAAGTGACAGGCCCGTAAAATGCTCTTTCAAACTAGCTGAACTTCGGACTGGACCAATTTTAATATGATTGAACTCGGCTTGATCCCAAATAAAGCCTTACCACAAAAGCTTGACGCTCAGCTCGTTGAATGCTTGCTGAGCCCAGGCTCGGCTAGCTTTGGGAAGTATTTTTTTATTTTTTATTTTTTTAGTTAAAATAAGAAAAAATTAGTCTAAGGTTCTTCTCCCATTTTTAGTAATGGAAAAGATCCACAATATTATTTTATGATGTCTAAGGTCCATCAACCCCACCCCCATGTGTTACAGAGAAATTTGGTATACCTCATGAAGGTCTTCCACCGTGGCTTGGCAACGATCTCCAACCACTCTTGAAGCTTCTTCAGAGCGTTGATCCCCCGATCTCATCGTTTCTCCTCCTCCTCGCTACGGTCCATGAAGAAAGCCATTAAGAACAATCATGATTAGATGTTAATCAATTAGAGGTAGAGAATTTTGTGGTTTAGGTGGCTCCATCACCCATGCAAGAATGCGCACCAGATGCTCCATAAGGCAGCTTTCAATAAGCAGTTATAAATAGTGATCATGAGAAACCAGGATCAAGTAGTACTTTCAATGATCCTTTCACAAAAGACATCTCTTATGGTGAAATGGTCGATTTTGAGGATAAGCCTACCTTGAACCACTACAACAAATTTAGGATTTAAAGACGAAACAAATTTGTCCCAAAATGTATATATTTCGTCATCCAAACTAATTACGATGAATATTTTTCGTCACCCATTTTGTCGCCAAAGGGTCGTCGCTAAAGGGTCTTAGAGACGAAAAAACAAATTCGTCATTGAAAATGATAAATTTGTGACGAATTTTTTTGTCTCCAATACACTTTGTTAGGAACATACTTGTAAGTAATTAGCAACAAAATATTTTGTCATTTAAAGGAGAAATTAGAGACAAAAGTATTTTGTCATAAATATAAGAAACAAAGACAAAATAATTTTGTCATCTTTAATATAAATGATGATGAAAAATTTTTGTCAAAGAAGCTACCAATAGAGACAAAAACAAATTCATCATTAAAAATGATAAATTTGTGACGAATTTTTTTGTCTCTAATACACTCTACTGGGAACATACTTGTAAGTAATTAGCGACAAAATATTTTGTCATTAAAGGAAGAAATTAGAGACAAAAGTATTTTGTCATAAATATAAGAAATAGAGACGAAATAATTTTGTCACGTTTAATATAAACGAAGACAAAAAAATTTGTCAAAGAAGCTACCAATAGAGACAAAAAAAATTCATCATTAAAAATGATAAATATGTGACGAATTTTTTTGTCTCCAATATACTCTGTTGGGAACATACTTGTAAGTAATTAGCGACAAAATATTTTGTCATTAAAGGAAGAAATTAGAGACAAAAGTACTTTGTCATAAATATAAGAAATGGAAACAAAATAATTTTGTCACGTTTAATATAAACGAAGACGAAAATTTTTTGTCAAAGAAGCTACCAATAGAGACAAAAACAAATTCATCATTAAAAATGATGAAATAATGTCCAAAAAAATTCGTCACACATTGAGGGTAATAGTGACAAAATGTGACTATATTTTTTGTCATGACAAATTCATTTAGCGACGAAATAAAGAATTCATGACAAAATTAATCATCCACCTAAGCCAAATAAGAGACAAAAAAACCTTCTTTAGGGATGGAAAATTTTGTCAGTAATTCCATAATATTTTTTTCGACATTATATACCTATTTTATCAAAAACTAAATTTTAGTTCAACAAATATAACCCTGTTCATGTTGAAACCTGATGAATATAACAATTCCATCACAACTTAACCTAACCTGTTATCAACCTATTTACGAATTAACAAAATGAAAATATTCATTCATCATTACAAATAATTTCATCCTAATACAATAAAATAGTGAAATATCCACAAAATATCCAAAAGTTATAACTTGTTCAATTCTACCAAAAATCCAACAATAACTAGTGCAACTCCAAAAAGTATGTGTATTCTTATCAAACAAAAATGAACATTCAAGCAAATTACATCATTGTTGCACGTCAAAAATGCCACCCCAATCCAATCTGCAAGAAAATAAATTAAAAGTTTTAGTTATTAATCAATTATACAAAAGATTAAAAACATTAGTAACTCATCAATTTACAATTAGATCAATTATACAATTTATCCTTGTAACAGACTTTTTTCAAGATTATGAGAACAAAAAATTAATTTTAAGGCTAATTCACAAATGGTGCATCCCATTAATGTGTCATAAGTTTATACAACTTATATTGGTCCCTCCTAAGGTGCTTCTATTGGTTCCTGTACAAATCTGTAGTTGTGTGATAATTTAGCATTTCGACGGCCTTTTTGATGCTTTAAGTATAGAGAAAAAAAATATTTTTTAGACTAATTCACAATTTATACATCCCGTACACCTGTACAAATTGGATGTCATATGCATGTTTCCATTACTTCTTAATTCTTCAAACATGTATTCTTTTATAAAATTTGTTATATTAAAGTTAATATGCTTTACCAAGAAGTATGTCCACTTGTGGATGAGTCCCCTCTACTTTCAAAGTATCCAGTGAATCCTTTGGTCCTCAAAAAGTTGACAACATCAACCATTGTCTCCCCTTGCTTCTTCTTACCCTCTTCAAGATCTTCTATTTTATTGTTCTGCATTTGTATTTGTTCCTTCTGCGTCTCTATTTGCATCTCAAGGCACTTTACATAATCATTTGTTTCAGCATATTTGGTAGTGGTCCTCCTAATAGAGGATGACGGTCTCATGCTAAGTCCCTTCACATAGCCAGACCTTGGCTTTAGAACTTTGATTGATAGCTCTTCTACAGTCAAAGGGGTTGATCCTGGCTGTGAGAGGTGATCAGCCTGTGTCTGTATCATATTTTCTTATCAAATATTAAAAAAATTAAATAATTATTAAAAAATTAAATAAGATTATAACAAATAGTATTCTAAAATTTTGTTAATAAAAATTGCAATATATTCTCACATAATTACACTGAGCTTGAGATGAGATCCACTTATGTGTTTTCTCATTATAGTGAGTTTCCTTGTACAACTCTGCTAGATCAGGTAGCATCTTCTTTTCTCGTGCCTAATTCGATAGACCAAATATTCAATAAATAAAGCTAAGAATCTAATATAATTCTGAAAGTGCAAGGATACGTTTTTTCTATTCTAACAGGAATTGACCTAGAACCACACCTATGTTTTGTATACATCCTTTCTCTGTTCGCGATGTTGGCCTTTGATTGTTCCTAAAAGGAAGAATGACTAATATAGAAATGAAATGTATCCTTAGTAAGACAAATATGTTGGCTTTTGATTGTTCTTGTAAGGAATAATGAACCAATATAACAATGAAATGTGTCACTAGTAAAACAAATTTAATGCTTCATAATAAAGAAATTGCATTGTTCCTCTCTATCATTTTCCTATATATCATTTCAACTTAAAAGATATTTCAAATTATTCACTAGTTTCATTCAATTCTTTGAAAAATATATTAGAGGACTTGTTGAGATTTCATCATAAGATGGTTTTTCTAGGTGAAAAAAGAAAAACGAGTAATTTACACCGTTCACAAATAGGGGGCATATAAGCATAGACAAGATAGATTGTGAAAAAATCCATTTACATTTCACAAGATATGGAACAATTACTAATACCAAACTCATAACCCTTTCTTTCTTCCACAACTCTATCAAATCTAAATTTCTGTCTCAATACCCTATATTAGTTACTTAGCTAGTTGCTTACCATTATCATGAAACTTCAGACCAAACCCAAGAATAAACAGAAAATTAATATAATTGTAGAAACTGAAATCTTAGTTCTTTATTCTATGATGTGAAAGATGCACTTTAAGGAACCATAAATTAATCTCCTATCATGCGAGCATTCCAATCCATGTTTAATAGTTTCGCTTTCTCATTTTCCCACTTATTTGGTTTTTATTATGTTCCACTTACATGCCTAGAAGATAAAGGGAAAAGAAGACATATGGAATTTCACAGCAAATTGATTGTGTTCTTTCTAGTTTTTTTAGAATCTCTCCCTATTCTAATCAAATTCTTTCTTCGCTGATATAATAAAAAAGACGTAAATGTTACCAGAAATTCTTTAGTGTTCCACTTTTTATCAATAAGATCTATGCACTTGGTAGGATCAACATCCTTCGGTGGGTGATTTCTTGCATACTCCTCCCCTTTAGCCTCCTTCAGCTCCATGCCTATAGGTATGGTTTCTCAATCTCCGACCAAATCTTGTGTTCATTGCCTTCTCTACATCAACAGGGTCTCCTTGTAAATCAAATTGATCCTGCAAAAAATAGATAAGCCATAGATAATTCTTATAAAAAATAAAATAATTACAATAAATAATTAAGATTTCTAAAATATTATAAAAATGAGTAAAATGTCCTATAATAGAGTAGACAACGAACTTACATTCAAGCGTTGAAACATCGCCTCCTTAATGGAGGCATCAACATACTTCCACCTACGAACACTTGGATCTGGTAAACGTGTTCGCACTTCTACACCAATCTTTGAGGCAAGTTTTGAGGCATAGTCCCCTACCGATGCACGAAATTCTGGAGGGATAGGCACGTTATGCTTTCCATCTCTATCAACAAGGCCTTGAACTTCTTTGCCTCGAGTCGGGCCACGAACACACTTAGCAGCTGATATTGTGAAGCCATAATATTGAAATAGTATGTGAACAAATTTAATTAAGATCTCAAATCAATGTAAATAAAGAGTGTGTCTTACCAATAGTATTACCAGCAGTCACCTCAAGTTGAGGCTCCACATTGAGAGGTGGTGGCGGATGGCTAGCCACCTCAGGACGTGAAGAAGTATCCCCCCCATCTTCTGATGCGTGGGTCAATGCCTCATGATGAGATTGTGAACGGGCTCTCGATGGTATCTCTAACAGCTGAATAACATAATAAAATTTGAATATATGTACAAAGATATACATGTCTATGTGTGAATGTCTTGAAAGTAACAAAAAAGAATATATTTCACAATGCATAAATGTATAGTACCTCATGCTCAAATGAATCATAGGATTCAGTGTCACTGCCATCTTCAACCTTTGAAGGTCGATAATCATCGTCATTTTTCTCAATTGGTATTTGTTTTTCCTTCCTCAATTTCTTATGTTGAACCACAGCCTTCAAACAAGTTATTATATTCTTCAGTCCTAGAGCATTCATTCTCTCACGGTTTTTATTAATTGTTTTCATTCTCTGTTTCTCATAGTTCGTTACCTTCTTAGTTGCGGTACTTGGTTTGGTCAACTGTTTTTTTGTAGGGTCCATTTTGCCCAACTATAAAGCAGAACTGAACATATTTTTGGTGGATAAGCATAATTGAACAATAGATGTAAAGAAAAGATAATTATATATTTCTATACATAAAGTATAAAGCAACAACAATCTCAACAAGTGGATATGCCATATAGGCTCTAAATCATTGAAATATGGCTAGAGTGAGATGGATGAATTTTGTTTTTACCTTTTACTTATCATAGAACAAATTAATTATAAAGCCATCAGACACATAATATGACCAATCAACGATAAACCTACATAACAGTGGATGAACCCCACAACTGAAATTCAGCTACATTAATTAAGAACAATGTTCATATAGAAAGTGCTAAATACAAATCCTAGTATACATCAACATCCATATCGTAATCCACATTAGGTTCGTCACATTCTTCATTTTGTTTGTCAGCTCTATTCTCTATCATTATTTCATCAGATGACCTAATCCTTGTAACAACTTCTGCTTCAACACCATCTCTGTAATATTGAACATTAGGGCCAATGTCAATTGGAACAACATCGGTAATATTTTCTTGTTGGAACACATCGTTTTCTTTTGGTTCATTTAATGATTCTCCATCACCTACCTCCGGTACATCAAAGACACCCCTGTACACCTCACGTTTGGCATCATTCAATAGTTTATCAAACATTTGTACTTCCTCATTCTGGGGTGCATCTTTAGGTTCTCCTCTTATTCGATCTTCCACTAAGGCATCAATACCACCTAAAACCTAATCTTCATCAATTGCCATATCATGGTGAGCCTTATTTGATACACGTGGTTCCCCGTGCTCATACCAAATAGTGTACGTTTGCATAATCCCATATTGAAGCAAATGAATTTGCACATTTCGAAGATTTTGGGAATAATAGTTCACACAATTCAAATATGGGCACGGAATTTTACCTTCCTGGTCAACAATTGCCATTGCAAATTTAATAAATGATGTCACCCCATCAAGAAATGACTGACTCATCCTTTCATCAGGTGTCTTACCCAATGCAATCCAACTCTTGTCCATGTCTGATCATAAATGAAAGATCATGTTTTTTTAATTTGTTTATGTCATAAAACGTATCATGTGTACTATTAACCTATTCCATTTAGGAATGCACAATGTGTATCATATAAATAAAATCATATGACGTTGTCTATCTCTAATCTTTACTTAGTTCTCCAAGTATATAACATAGATTGAGATGGAACATATTTAAGTAGTAAAGTTGCAAAGTACAATGTAGACTAATGTATTTTCAAATTGTTTGAATTTGGTCAAAATAGAACAGATTATGAACCAGATATCCCAACAGATTATGTACCAGACCACTGAGAGCAGCTATTGCTGTCCAAATACCTTGATCAAAGTATATCAAATTAGCTTTCACTTGACTCATGACTAGTGCTCTCTAAATCTACAAAATACCTTGATAAAAATTTGCCACAAATTCAGAGAGTTTCCTTTCCCACTACTGATCAACTAGCATATCACCCGTGCTATGCCCGGATTGTGTTTACAATTATCTATATATGTGAACTAGTGGTAACTCGTGCTATGCACGACATGTAAAAAACTAATAATATATTTTTATACAAAATAATATAAATAGTTAAATTTTTGTATGCAAATTATGAAAACAAATAAGATTGAAATTTATAGTTTAAGTCCTACAATTTTATCACAATTTATTTATTATTTTTTAATTTGTCACAAATTTAATCATGTAATTTTCAACCCCCCTTGCTGGAATTGCAAATTTAGCAAATATAATTTGAAAAAAAAATTAAATTTGAAATTTTATTTTATAATTTAATAAAGGATGCAAAATTTAAGGAATGAATATTGGTCTCATTCCAATTATAGTAACATAATTTAAGTAAGAATCCAAATTTGAAATTTTATTTTAGGGTAAATTAAGGAATGAATATTGGTCTCATTCCAATTAGGCTTTTTCACTTTTTAATTTTTGTGAGAAAAAAAAAATGAAATGATTATGATTTGGATGAGACATTTTGTCTTATTGACTTTTTAATGTATTTCGGTTTTTTTTTTAATTTTATTTTATACTATTTTAACCTTTTAGCCCCTAAAACCAACATGCCAAACGAAGACTTAGGCTTCGTTTGGGAAGTGGGTTGACTTTTTGGCTTTTAGTCTGGGCTAATAAGCCTCGTTTTGGTTGAATTTTTTGATTTTTTTGACTTTTGTAAGAGAAAAAATGAAATAATTTTGTAACATTTTGTCTTGTCGACTTTTTAATCTATTTTATCATTTTGTATCTATTTTAACCTTTAGCATCCTAACTCAACATGCCAAATGAGGGCTTAAAATATTTGTGCTCAATTTCGTAATTAATTTATGTAAATTTTTCCATTTATTTTGGCGGTGAGGGTAATGTAGTGGTTGAGCACAATAAAAAGTGTCAACACTACATGCGAACTTTAAAAATAATTGAATTTGTGAAAAGTGTCAACACCATATTAGTTTGGTAAAAAAAAGATTAAAACTCATTATTTATATATATATATATATATATATTTTTTGGGGGGAAAAAATACTTTTTTATGGTTTTCCTATATGTTGATGACTTGAAAATTAAATTTTGACAGGAAAAAATTCTTTGGTTCAAGTCCCATTTTAAAAAATAATTAAAAAGTGTCAACACTATACTAGTTTGGTAAAACAAAGATTAAAACTCATTATATATATATATATTTGGGGATGAAAATAATTTTACAAAATTCACAAATATATATATTTTTTGGTGTTTATTCATGGTTTTCCTATATGTTGATGACTTGAAAATTAAATTTTGACAGGAAAAAATTCTTTGGTTCAAGTCCCATTGTAAAAAATAATTAAAAAGTGTCAACACTATATTAGTTTGGTAAAAAAAAAAGATTAAAACTCATTATTTATATATATATATATATATATATATATTTTTTGGGGGATGAAAATAATTTTATAAAATTCAAAAATATATATATTTTTTGGTGTTTTTTTATGGTTTTCCTATATGTTGATGACTTGAAAATTAAATTTTGACAGGAAAAAATTCTTTGGTTCAAGTCCCATTTTAAAAAATAATTAAAAAGTGTCAACACTATACTAGTTTGGTAAAACAAAGATTAAAACTCATTATATATATATATATTTGGGGATGAAAATAATTTTACAAAATTCACAAATATATATATTTTTTGGTGTTTATTCATGGTTTTCCTATATGTTGATGACAGAGACAAATTGTGAAGTTTTTTTTTTTTTGATTCAAAGGAAAGTAATAAACAAGGGTTCGCAAAAGCACAACAACAAGCAGAGGGTTCATCCCTCACTACACTAACACCACACATATCATCAATGATCAAAGGTGCGACTTTAGCTGGTGAACAAGCAGAATGGTGAACAATGAACATACAAATTCCATAGTTGTGGAATAAATTTCCAGCGACAATAATCAATTGATCAAACCCACGCATGCATACGTTTTATTGGAAGGTCAGATTGTTCCTAATGGGAGGGAAGAGAGGGAAGGAAAGAGGGATACATGTGTACCGTGAGAGTCCCTTCCAGTCAGATTGTGGAAGAATGCTTCAGCGAAGAGCCGATCCCTCAGCCATGGCTTGCAACAGTAAGCACACCAGAGAAAGAGCAGAGGAAGTTTGATGGTCTTGAAGATATTTGTTTTTTTAAGTTTGATGGTCTTGAAGTTTGATGGCCTTTTAACTTCTCTGCCTTTCAATTTTATTTGGTTTCATTTTTTGAAAACGATTTGGAGTTATTTGTTTTTTTTAGATACACTTAATTATACTGAAAAGGAAAAATATTTATGAAAAATAAAAATCAATAAAAAATGACAATGTACTAGATTTTACAAATATCATTTTTTTTCTAACACAATGTACTAGGACCTTTTTTATTTTTAATTTCATGCAGTAACTCATCTACGATTCTTACCGGAGATGCCGACTTTTGAGGTTATCTTGACAGTATGGAACTTTGTATTGATGATTTGGCTCTCTCTCTCTCTCTGTCATGTTCTATTTTAGAACAGCTTTGTCCAATTATGAAACTAGAGATTTTCATCTTTCTAAAAGCTAGCTTTTCAGCTTGTTTTGATTTCATGGGACTTTCTCAAAGTAACTTGGAACATTGCAAGTTAATTGAAATTTAAAATATTAAAAACTGATCAGAATATTGTATTTTGAGTCTTGTAGTATTAAAAGGTATCAATCAATGGTGTTGAGAGTTATTGGAAAATTGCAATAAGGCTTTGTGCTCGTTTATGAATTCCTTGTGAATGTCTTCTCTTGAAAGTCTTTTTCTTTTTTGATGAAGAGGTCTAGTTGGTTGTTTTTTATTTTTGATATTTTAATTTTTTTTATGAAAGGGTTGTTTAACATTTTTTTCACCCAAAAAAATAAATTAAAAAATATGATAGTATCAACCTCGCTGCCCAATAATAAATTACTTTGTAATTAGTTTTATTACGTATATGTGGTGGTTATAAAACTATTTTGAAATGTGTACACGAATAGTAGAATTCACTATTTATAGTTTTATTATTAATTGGTGATATCACGTGTGTTAGTAATGTGGCAGTTTCTAACAATTAGTAGATCGAACTTTTCTGCATTGATTATTCTGTTTATATAGTAATGATAATACAAAACTTGCATCATTTACATAATAAAAGGTTTATGGTGATCAATAAAAAAAAATGATATTCGTATAAAACTTTTATACAAAAATCAAGTATAATCAAGATTTTACAAATATCATATAAATGGTTAAATTTTTGTATGCAAATTATGAACACAAAGAAGATTGAAATTTACAATTTAAATCTCACAATTTTATCACAATTTATTTATTATTTTTTTAATTTGTCACAAATTTAATCATGTAACTTTCAACCTCACTTTCTAAAATTGTAAACTTA